TTCAAATGCCTATATCTCCGGAACCGTTTGAGCTACACCGCCCAGATTTTGCACAGAGGTAGGCCGAATTGGTAACTAAATTATCGTGAAGCATAATTTTTTTCGAAAAACATCGAAGAAAATGTCACAAACTATGTGCATCTTCCTTACTTGGATTTCGACTTGGATTTCGGAACATTTCAACAATTTTTTTCGACTCTTCTCATATTTTTAGACGATTAAGGTATCTATGCGGCCTACCTCTGTGCAAAATCTGGGCGATGTAGCTCAAACGGTTCCGGAGATATAGGCATTTGAAGATCACATTTTGGCTGCTTTTATGATGTTTTCTTACTAAAAGTTGTCCAAAACAAACGAAAAACATAGTATGGGCAGCTAAAACTGGTGCCAATCTTAATCTACAGATGTCCCCTGCAATATGTATCGCGCCCAGCGAAATTGGTGTGTACCACCTAAAAACCTTCCCTTGTAAGTACCGTATAACAAATGAGAAGACTTTTTGCCTTTGCTCTCAAGCTTGTAAAATATTTTTATTTGTTTATCTATATATGGATATTTTTGATGTTCCCAAAGTACCGCAGTCCTTAACACGTTCAGTGCGGCATGACCTACCCCGTTAACGGCCGCCCTGAACGTGTTAAGCACATGCTCCTGGTAAAAAAAAAAAATTGAATTTTAAATCAGTAATGTGTACTCACCAGTTGGTAGGCGTGGGCTGCAGTCGGGAGACTGCGTTCAGGTCGCCGGTTCCACTCCGCCGCCGAGCCATGCCTGCAACACAGAGACAAGCGCCCAATCAGCGTCGTCCTCGAAGCAGTTCAATGCGATTTAATTATTACTCTCCCATCATCGCGAGCCAATCGGAGGTCACCTCGCCGAACACTGTCAGCAAAGTGTTGCGTTACCACACCCGCCACCCGCGTAGCACAGAATTGTCGTACGACTGTCGTACAACAGTCGAAATAAAGATACAAACGGCCAATTGAAAAAATTTCACTATGTGCGACAGTTTTGTCGTGTCACTATGGCACTCTTTTAAATTTTGTACCAAAAGTACAGCAAATGTACAGTATGCATGTACAGACTCATCGTCTTACTTTAGTGTAGGTGAAGTGTGCCGCCCATAAGACTCAAGTGTGCATGTGTACTGGTGCGTGCGTGCGAGCGGTCTGTGAGCGTGTGACTGCGTGCTGTGACAGACGACCTGCCACGCCGGCCGGCAGACAATATGTCACCACACCAATTACACTTTACTTGCCCGAAGTGCCGCACATACTGGCTTTATGCTCGTCACTCCTCTCGGCCAACGCGGCTCTTTGTGGCTCCGCCGTGGGTAGAAGAGAAAAGCCATCGCTTTTCAAAAGGTGGCAAACACGCAGTGTTTTCTACACTAATAGTAGTTTCGGGTACTGATGTATATTTTTGTGACTGATCCCACAATACGCCGTGGTTGACTGGTCTAGCTTCCCAATATTTTGGCATTCTCTATTCAATGTCAAATTTTGGGCATCTTTTAGGGACTGCGGCAGTGGACTGCCAGTTTTTGACCTCTTTGCGTGCCAAAATTTGATCTTCTAAAGGAGGGAGGGCCAACTTTCGTCCGCTTTCAAGGCCAAATTTTGGCATTCCTTTCGAGAAGACAAAATTGGCATCTGAGAAGGACCGCTATAAGCAAGAACTTTTTTGAACTTATTTTTCATCCACTGTTTAATTGTTATTTTTTTTTTGGAGAGGGGGGGGCTATTTTAATGAGGAGGTTTCAGGGTGTCACCTCCAGTCCCCTCACCACTCTGCGGTCTATGGTCACGGCACATCTGATGCGCAGCGCACTGTTCTTCGCGGATTGGCCCCGGCCTAGCCCCACCCACCCCGCCACGCTGGCGCCGCCGCGCCCCGCCAAGATTGAGCTGTTACTCTCAGAGCTCTGCGGTGGTCACGTTTCCTCGCCCATTCCCGCCCCTCTCCTTTCCTCACCGCACCTCGCCTTGCCTAGAAGGGAGTAAAACAAAAATTCCTGAGCGCAGGATGAGAATGCGTCCTGTTCTCTTGTGCCGACGCCCGCTGGCGTGGCGTAGCGTAGCGCTGCAGTGTGTGGTGCGCAGGAGGGTCGCCTCCGCGCCTCCGCGCCGCCGACGGTGTCGCGGCCGGCTGCGGCAGTGCTGGGGTGGAGAGAGAGGGAGTCACTTTTTCGCACGCGTCCCCGGCGGGGCGGGTGAGTGTCACCGCATATAAACCTGTCGCCTACACAGCCGGAAGAAAGGTCTGGCTGCACAGGCTGGGCCTCGCAGCATCAATGAGGCGTCATTGGGGTAAAGAAATTAATGAACAACACAAGCAAGGCTTCAACGGTTTTACAGAATTGAATTATTTTCAACTGTTATTGCGTGTTATTGGCATGTGTGATTTAAATGACACTCCTCATATGATAGAGTGACCAAGAGCGAGAGAGCGGGGGGGG